GTTTTCTGGCGCGGAGTCAACCGAATCCAGCCTGCTTTAGCCGACACTCGCCCCAAAGAGATTCCGCTTAGGTATACAGTAGTGGTAAAGCGAGCTGGAGGAGGGATTGTTGCTGACACAGCCCCCGAAGATTGGTCCCGTATCCCTAAGTATAAGAGGGGTTCAGGTTGTGTTCCTGCCAAGATTGCCCGTACCGCCTATGGCAGTCGTCCGTTGATACGGGAGCGTGGGGAAAATTCGAGCAATAGTGTACAGGCAGCAGCGCCAGCCGTGTCAGCCACACCGCCGCCTGAACGGCCGAATGCCGCTGTGCCTCTGGCTCCTCAAGTGCAGCACGCAGCGCCGGAAGCGATTGAGATGCAGGATGGACAAGCTGAAGTAGAACCTAGTGGGGTCCCCGTAGATGTAGTTCAGGGATATCCTCCTAGGGCGGTTCCCCGGCATGGGCCAGGGTACTTGGTTTTAACCACAGCACAAAAGACTGAGCTGTCCCGACTGCACCACAATCTTGGACATCCATCAGTAGAGCTCTTTGTCGAAGTTCCTTCAAGAGAGGAAAGCTAAGCCTGCGCTCATTCGGGGAGCGAGGGATTGTAGCTGTGCTTCGTGTTTAGAGACTGTACCCACCGTCTAGACCTGCAAGCATTCACTTGGATGGGGACTTTGGAGATGTAGTGGGTATGGATGTTGCTTATTGGACAGGCAGAGCGGGGCAACAGCATTTGTTCACGCATGTCATTGATGAGGCGACGCTTTTCCATCAGGCTGTGGCCACTGGTCGCACTCCTGAGGAGAGTATAATAACGATTTTTGGCGTCTGCAACTTCAGAAAGAGGGTGTTCGGGCCAACGTGTCGGCCGGAAACATGGAAATCTACTCAAGTCAATGTTAACTAGGATGGACAGCCAGGACATGATAAAGGATTCCGAGGATTTCAAGCGCTGCCTTCGAGAAGCTGTCAGGGCTAAAAGTGCAAGCCGCGTGAAAGGCTACACTCCGGAGCAAGCAGTCCTAGGGAAGATGAGTAGGGTTCCAGGGTCAAGTATTTCAGATGACTATGCAGCCACAGGACCTCCAGAGAAGGGAACAAGCTCGCGTTGCATTTGCACAAGCTGATAATGACTGCGCGTATCGCAGAGCCTTGCTGAGGAGGTCCAGACCGCGTGCGACCAGGAGATTGGGTGCTTTATTGGCGCCGCCAGCGCGGGGGCACCCGCGGTGAACGTGGCCGGTGGTATGGGCCGGGGCAAGTACTTAGCGGGGATAGCAAGGTAGTGTATGTGAGCCACTGCGGTCAGTTAATTCGGGCTGCCCCCGATGCGTCCATGAGGGAGTGGAAGGCCATTTCCGATGTAGCGCAGGGTTCTGCACAGCCGCGGCAGCTTGTTGACATTGCAACGCAAGGTGAACTTCCCGAGCAGTCCGAGGTGGACCGAGAAGGTCCCCCTCCGGCAGCCGTCCCTGCAGCAGTAGATGTTGTTCCTGGACCTGAGGGTGAGCCACTAAGGGGGTTACCTAGTTCTGTAGGGGGTGCTCCTGAACAGCCGGAACAGGAAACATCTCCTGCTGCATCAGAAACCGCGGAGACACCGTCACTTGAAGGGCAGATGGTGGATGAGGGTCCGATGTTGGATGCTGCTGATGCACCGGTACCTGATGACGATGATGATGAATTGCTGTTTGGGGACACTGAATGTTTTCTTGTACATCCTCAGGCCCATCAAGTGTGGGAAATTGGGTTGCACGAAACCGATGTAGAATCCCATAATTTGCCCTCGCCATCACAGGCTTTGCATTATGTTTTGCTTGCCACTCAAGACCGGAAAAAGCGCGTCGAAGTCAAGCTCCGAGACCTGACACCTCCTGAGCAGGAGCAGTTTCGACAGGCCAAGAGTAAGGAAGTAGGAGCGTGGCTTGATCATGCTACGGTAAGAAGGGTGGCCGCAGGCACTTTAGACGACAGCCAGCTCATGAGATGTCGCTGGATTCTCAGCTGGAAGGATCCGGAGAAGCAAGGGGGTCCAAAACGGGCCAAAGCAAGACTGGTGGTATTGGGGTTCGAAGACCCGGATCTTTCCTCGATACCCAATGATGCACCCACGTTGGGCAAGGATGCGCGACAGCTCATCCTTCAAAAGGTTGCAAGCAACCACTGGAAGCTAATTAATTTTGATGTGTCCACAGCATTTCTTCAGCGAAAGGGGGATGGTCGAAAGCTAGGGATTCGACCTCCACCGGAGCTAAGCGCTGCCCTTAAGATGAAAGAGGGTGATCAGTGTTTGCTGGAGGGAGGCGCATACGGCAGAGTGGACGCACCGTTTCTCTGGTTTCAGACCTGCAAGGAGACTTTGGAAGGGCTAGGCTTTATCCAGAGTCCATTTGATGCCTGCACATTCTGCCTTGTCACTCCCAAGTCCAACGGGGCTCCTCAGGTTCACGGGGTTCTGGGAATACATGTAGATGATGGCATCGGGGGAGGGGATGAGTATTTCTCAGAGGTTATCGAGAAGCTACGGTCCATTTACAATTTTGGGTCATACGAAGAAGGGGAGTTTACGTTTACGGGCATTCACTTTCGGCAATGGCTTGAAGGAAGCATTGAAATGGACCAGACGTCTTATGTTGAAAAGATAGCTCCTATCCATGTGCCAAGAGAGAGACGTCGCCATGTCAATGCATCACTCACGCCGGAGGAAGTGAAAGAGTTGCGCCGACTGAATGGGAGCTTGCAATACGCGGCGGTACACACGCGACCGGATATAGCCGCTCAGGTGGGGTTCCTCCAAACTCGGATCAATAAGGGACAGGTGCAGCATCTGTTGGATGCTAATAAGGTGTTCCATGAAGCAAAGTCGCATCGTGTATCGCTGATGGTTGCGCCCATCCAGGAAGAGCATGTCACGTTTTGCGCGTTTTCTGACGCTTCATTCGCTACGTCCAAGGATAATAACTCCTACCAAGGGACACTTGTGGTAGCTACTGACTGGCGAATGTTAGCTAACCAGCAAGCCGTCATTGTTCCTGTAGCATGGTGCAGCAAGAAGATTTCACGTGTTGTTCGTAGTACTTTGAGCGCAGAAGTAGTTTCCCTAAGTGGCTCTGTAGACCGTATGTCTTGGCTAAGACTCTTCTGGGAGTGGCTGAAAGATCCTGCTGTTAACCTGGCGTGTCCGGAGGAGATACTCCAACGAGCTCCCCAAGCCTCACTGGTTACGGACTGTAAGAGTGCTTATGATATCTCGACTAAGACTGCTGTTCCCAACTGTTCGGAAATGCGAACACAATTGGAGTGCCTTCTCCTCAGAGAACGCTTGCAAGAGAACTGCAAGCTTCGATGGGTCCATAGCAGGGCGATGCTTGCTGACTGCCTAACTAAGGTAATGGACAGTGCTGAATTACGTAGGCGACTGTCAAGTGGGAAGTATGCTTTGTGTGATGAGCTTCAAGTCTTGAACGACAGAGCAGAGCATATGCAGTCGTTGCAGTGGCTTCGTCAGAACAATCACGACTCATGTGGCATCCATGGGGATCACAAGTGAAAATCTTTAAGAAGACAATTTTATACCAGTGTGAATCCTGCAGGGTCTTGGCAAGGAAACCCCTTCACTTGTGCTCAATCATGTGCCGTCTTCAGCTCAGCGGTGGGAGGGTGGAGTTTGCTTGACCAACAAGGATAAAGGCGTGCACAGGGTGCTAGGTGCCGAGGCTACAGGGTAGGACAGGGTCCTTCGGGACAGGGTCTCTTGACATAGGGTCGTAGGAACTTTGGGATCCTTTAAGGTTGTGGGACCGGGCTCCTGGGCAGGGTCCTAGGCAGCATATTCACAGATGATGATGATGATGATGATGATGACAAGGTAGTAAACGGAGCTGTGCTGATGCTCATGCTGACACTACCTGAGGCTTTCATTGTTTCAATTTTTTGGGACGTTCGCCTTCTACCTGTCCCTGGTGCACGACCGCACCCCACTTGGAAGCAACATGGTTGGAATCACGCCTCTCCGGAATCACCCTTGTTTGGGATCACCCCGTTTGCAATCACCCTATTGGCAAAACCTCTGGACCTCTGGTAGATAAGACTGGACATAAACGGCATCAGCTTCACCGACAGACCAAATTAATTTGCTGATTGAAATCGCACACGAGCAACCTGGTTTGGAAGCTCCATGGTGAAACCAAACCTCGACATGCCACGAGGGCGTGTCCAGTGTGCATAACTGCTCTAGATATCTGCTACGCCTCTTGCCGCAGGAGCGGGAGCGAAGGAGGCAATCCTACGGAAGATACGTTGGGACCACTCTGAGTACCAGAGTTTGAACGCCTCTCACGGGAGGCAAGGCTGCTTGCACTGCGAGGCGTTGCTCGCGGGGACGGTCCTCGGACCAAGCCGCCAATGCCGCCACTACTGCTCCCCGAGGAGCCCAGGCGCTTCTCTTTCGCCCGATCTGATCCAGGTCTTGCGCCCGGAGCGCCCGCACCCCCTGAGGATGCGCTCACAGGAGCCTTGCGTAAACCTGGAGCACTCATTGTTCCCCCGGAGACGCGCCCGTACCCTGAGCTCCCGCTTCCACCACTCCGGCGCTTGGAAGGCGGACCTGGCTTTGGATCTTTCTTCTGCTTCGAACTTCCAAGTCTTTCAGCTTTGCAGAAGATGCAGAAGAAGGGCCCGCCTTGGGAACCGGGGCTTGGCGCTGGCTCTTTGGTACTTGTTGGAGTCGCGACCTGAATCAGGTCCTAACCTCATGGCCTTGCCGACAGCTGTACAACAGGAGTCCTGGACACTCGGCGAGCTTGTGGAACTTAAGTGCGAGCTCAGGTCTTCTATGAGGGCACCTGATTTATGGGTGCAAGGCTCAACCACTGAACGTGGTAGGTGAAAACTTCGGCCCGCGCTCTGGCTCTCAATGATACGCCGCTGATCGTCCAAGGCACCCTGTGAACGCTCCGTGGTAGTTCAAAGCTGATTGGCTGAAAGGGCTGAAAGGGCTGCAAAGGTCTGCTCAAAGGGCCTCCTGCGCCTCCACGATGGCACGAAGCTCTGCAAGCTCCGAGCTTGGCTCTCGGCTAAGCTCGGCTTCCAGCTCGCGCACCTGCGCCTCGAGCTCAGCCACGCGTGCCTCGACACTTGAGCGTTGAGCGATGAGCGTTGCTTGAGCAAGCCCCTGCACTGTGCAAACAACGAGCCTTCAGAGCACTTGCATCGGCATCCATTGCGCATGGAAAAAGTTTGACGGCCCAGTGGCTGCAGAAGAGCGGGCTGTTCGTTCCAGGGCTGCTCGGCACACGCTACATCAGCTTCGAAGGCCGCATGCAAGCATTTTTGTGCCATCCCATCTTTGTTTTGGTCTTTGGCGCAAGTTGCGCGGCACGTCGGCCAGGCATGCAAATTCACATGTTGGCCACAGAAATAAGCTGTGGGTATCCAAGAGGTTTCCAGGATTCCAATGAGAAGCGAAACTCAGAGTTTTTTTGTTCCCTTGCCTGGGTAGCGAGAATTGCCTGAAAGCTTGTGCAGTACTGGTGCCGTCCGACCTGTCTTTGCGACATCCTTCTCGGCTGGCTTGTAGACAGGCTTTGGCCTGTCAGCTCCAAGTCGGCCAGGCATCGCTGCCTGGAAAACTCACACGTGCCAACTTGCCCCGCTTCGCAATGCTTGAGTGTCTTGGACCCCGGCCATTCTCTCCTTTCGCTCCTCATCGGGGACCAGCCTGACCAGCATCAAGCGGCAGTTTGCAGACCACATGCCTGATGCAGCTGAGGCAACGGTGCCGTTCGCCCGTCTGGGTAGAAGCGCTTCTGGTTCAGCTCCTGACATATCGGCAACAGGCAGAAATCAAGCTGCTTGATCGTTTCCACTCAGTCAGGGCACATAATAGTCAACGTTTGGCTGGGAAAGCACAAACTCTTTGATCTTGATGTTCTGAGCTGGGACCTTGTTCCTGGCACAAAGTTGTCTTTAGTGATTTCATGAAACTCTGCCCGCCAGCAGCCGCTAAGCGTACTGCAATCAAACAAGTGCCTGCAAAACAAATAATACATGGCTGCCCTGCACGATTAGAATGGAACCTGGGTCCGTGTCATAAATCTGCGCAGAGATTCCTCGCCAGGCGTGCAGACACCGGCTTGAATTGGGTTCGATAATGGCTGTAAAGTGCGTGCTTCGCTAGAGACTTGCAGTTGGTTTTCGTTTGGGGGATGCTTTCTTCCTTCTCTGTAAGCTGAGTTGCTCAAGCTGCAAATGCTCCTGAAGTAGATGCGCGTAGCATTCCAAGCGTTGTTTGCCTCCTGGCTTCCCTCCTAGTCTTGCAACGTAGGCTGAGCGGGCAAGAGAAGATCTGCTCGAACCCTTCGAAAAGGCATGCTGTTGTAGCCGCAGTTGTGGTCAGGAAATTACTAGATAGATTTCGTACGTCCAGTTGTAGTAAAGAAGGAACGGCAGTGTGCCGCTCGAGAATGTTGAGCAAAAATCATGAAAGTCGGCAAACCACCACAAAACTGGGACCGCAAGAGCATTCCACTCTCAGGAACTTTTGGGCAGTCGAAGCCGCTTGACTTTGAAAGCATGGTCCTCCGTTCTCCAGCAAGCTGGTCCAGCTTCTGGCAAGGCTCGTGGTCTCGTGCTTGCCATGTTCTTGGGCCTGCAGATCTGGCCGCGCAAGGACTGTGATTCTCCCCGGAATTCTAGGCGCGGCACCCACTTCACATCCATCTGAACGAAGGCCATGCTGACGCCGCTGCTTCCCGATGTCATAAATGATGCCGGGTCTCGCTTAAAGTCCTCAATCCAATCCCCAACAGCATTAGCTGTTAGACAACCAACATCCAACAGATGCCAGCTCACCATGGTCCTCTGAGTTGAAGTCGATCTTGGGTCGGTTCTTCCGTTCCCGTACTTCTTTTACGTGGTCCAAGAATGGCTTAGGCACGTCCACCTGCAAATGAATGCAGCCCAAAAGGAGCAGCCTGCTACATATGCCAAAGCAAGATGCCTCCATATCATCCACATCTCCCACGTCAAGGTCTCGGATGTCAGCCTCCGAAGGGTCAAAATCTTGTCCGTTGACCGTTGATTTGCTGACGAACATGACTCCAAGCCCGCTGGCCTTTGCATCGACAATCTGATATCGCGGCGCTATGTAGCTGCCAAGACTGCAGCCGAACCATTTCAGTTCAAAGACTACCAGCAAGCGGAAGCCGCCCAAAGATCCCAGAACCATGGGTCCGAGCGGTGCTTTCGATCTGGGATGTCCCTTGTCGTGTTTGTTGAAGACCTTGCTGCTTCAGTGGTGACTCAAGTACTAGCCTATGGGTAGAACCTTCAATCATAGACGACACCTGATTCTGAGATATTGAAAGAGAGTCTGGAACTTGATCCGGAGACTGCAAATTGATATGTCGAAAGACTCGTTTCGAGCTGCTCACGCCAAAGCTGCCACCGCTATGTGCTGATATGTGCTGATGATGTCTAGAAAAAAGAGCGCTGAAAAGTGATGTATGCTGTTTTGGGTCATGCATGCGAACAATGCAGCCTGCAATGGGCCCTTGAGGGCGCTGTGCGAGCATGGATTGAGCATTGCTCATGCGTCTGTGTACAGGGTGAGACGGGTGACACCATATCTGCAATGCCAACACGCACCTGACGATCATTATTGTGGTCATTCACCTCGTAGCTGCCGAATCATGGATTGCCAATTCTTTTCGCCAGCCTTGTCACAAAGAACCTTTTGCAAAAGCTTCCAAATATCTGGCGTGCTGCAAGTCCCGATGGCCTGTTCCTTGGCCTCTCTGGCTGACATCTCCGCATTCCAGCGAAAGACCTCTGCTGCAAACTGCTTCTTGTAGTGCTCGTAGTACTGAAGCCGGCCTTAGTGCAGCATTTTGCAGCACGGCTACGTCACTATGGACTCAACCAGCCTGGGCTTTTGGACAAGGCAGAGCCACTGAAGCCCGTGCTTCAGCTGCCACTGATTCTACAAACTTTGCAGCAACTCATCACCTCCAAAACGCTCAGCACCCCACCATTGATGATGCTGCGATGCACTGGCCTCAAGACAAGGGCCGCTGCTGTGTGGGGCGGGGCACTCGCCCAACCGAGCAGCGAACGAGCGGAAGGATTTCATGGGCTCAGTAAGCTCTTGAACCTTCTGCTCGTCGAGATTCTCGTCTTCATCTGTGAGCACTGGATCTGTTGGCCAGCCGCCACTGCACAACAAAGCGCGCAGCTCGTTTTTTGGAAGTCCCTGCCATTGACGCTCTGGGAGGCCAGGTTTGGGTTCCTCTGGGGCTGCAGCCGCCTTTGGCTCTGCCTTACCTTTGGCGGCTGCCTTCGGAACTGGTTCTGGCGGCTTCTCTTCTTCTGCGTTTAGACGCCGGAGCCGGCGTTTGATGGACATCCGCGGAGGCTCCACCTTCCCAAATTGCAGGCACCATGACATGCGACGAACCGCTGCCCTTTTGCCCACGCCTTCTCGTCTCCCGGCAAGGCTCCAAAATGGCTGTGAAGCGGCAGTAGATCGACAAGACGCATGGCGACTTCTGCAAGATTGGTCAGACGGCCTGAGAGGGCTGCAGAAGCTGCTTCGTTTCTGTGTCTTCTTTTGTTGAGGGTGTTTCCGTCGTTTCTTGTATGCATCTTAACTCCAGTTGAGCAAGAGGCTGGGGCCCACACCCACAAAGCTGGCACAGGCATCACGCAATGCAGTTGCCATCCTTTCCCGGTCCTTGTCAGGCATCCAGGCTGAGGCACAGAATGCTACACTTTAGCACTTTCAAGCTGTCCTCCTTGCAGGTTGTCAGAGCATCTGCATGACGCTTCGCTTCAGCTTCGACCAACTCCTGAAGTTCGACTTCCTTGTTGGCGTCAGCGAGCCGTGGGTTCAGGCGCTGCTCGTGATTTGCCCTTTTCTTGCCGAAGTCTTTCCAAGTTTGAACTGTCCTTGGCTCATTGGCTCAAGCGCAGCCAACCACACCTGGCTTGCCGCCTGGGGCTCTTGCCGCTCGTGGGCGTCACGTGTCGTCTTTGCGAGCTCAGACAGCGCCCGCTGCGTGAGCTCCGAGAAGAGCTTGTCCCCAAGGCACAAAAGACTCAGGAAAGAAGGGAGCAGAGGAGAGCTGCGAGGCCACAAAAACCGGAAAAAACAACACACACCTAGTGGACAAGTCTTACAATAACATGTTTTGAAAGCCATTTCAGAGCGATGTCAAGGCGTAAGCATCCAACGTCTCTTCTCGAAGTTCATCACCCCAGGTTCGGAGACTGCGGGAGGCCTCCTGCCTTGCGTGCCTGATCACCGCCAGAATCACTTTTTTCGGGCACACAACTCTTCCATGTCCAAGCGAACATCCCAGAAGCGAGCCAACACAGAAAGGCACGAAGGATGGGAGCAACACTGAAAAATGCTGCAACCCTGTATAGGCTCAAGTACCCACCAGCTGAGGGCTACGCTCACATGACACCTGCATGTCAGAGAGAAACTTCTGCATGAAGTCCGGAGTACCACCAGCCTGGCAACACAATCCACTCTCCCAGACTGTGTGGTCGTTGATGTGCCAAGCAACTACAATGGTGCATCAGCAGCAGCGCATAGAGGTCACACACAGACACACACATTGCTCTGTTTTGGTGATTGATGCTGCGTTGTGTTTGCCCTCCTCCAACTGCTGTACTGACATCGACGCGGGCGCCCAAGCACCAAACTATGGGCACAAGAGCTCTGCATGGACGACTCTGCAGAGCAATGGGGCTCCACTTGCACCAAAAACTGTGAGCAAATGGGGTAGGCGTGCCAACTCCAAACACACTCACAATGTCAGGCGGGCCTGGAGAGATCTGGAGACAATATGTACAAGGTTCATTTGTTCAACAAGTGCTCCCCGCAGCCTAGTACTCACCTATCACATCCTCTGGCGTGATCTCTGCGAGCGTTTTGGGGGAGAAGTTGATTTTGCTGTCAGGGTTCAGCGTGTAGAGGTCACTGGTGTACTTCCTGATGTCGTCCATCTCTGCAAATCGTCGTTTGTTCTCCCTGAGCATGTTGAAGCGCTGCATGAAGGCATCTCCATTCATCATCTTCTGCCGCATGGCACTTTCTACACCGTCGCCCTCCAACCGCACTCCGCCCAAAGCAAATGTGATCACCCCCATGATGATCAGGCTGGAAAAACAAGAGAAGAAGACCATTGCATATGTCACTTGAATCCTGGTCGGGTTGGTGATCAGCTCCTTCGTTTCCTCGAACCAACGATTAATGCGATAGCTCAGAGTGGTAGCCTTGGCTTTGCCACCCCTTGCCCGGCTCATCATCATCATGTCCAGGTCCGTGTCATCCTCTAGGGACAAGCCACCTTTGCATGCACAGCATTTGAGAATGTTCAATCATCAAAGTCTAGGAGTCTTTGGCTTCAGCACTGAAAAGGATGGAGTTGTTTTTTGGTACTTCTTTTTCTTCCAGTTGCGACTTTTTTGGGAGGGCAGGGGCCCGGAATCGAAGGACGCCTCACACGAGAGCGCGATTCTGAGGCAAAAACTGTGAGGACTGATGAAAAATCACGAAAAAACGTGAAAATGCGAGAAAATGATGACAATGAAAAAAAAAAGGAAGAAATGATAGACAATGATGAGAATGATAGAAACCTGATATAAAAATGATGAGAATTATAGAAACATGATATACAAATCATGAAAATCATAGAAACGACAAATGATGAAAAATGTGAGAATCATGATAAATGACGGGAAATTACAGAAAAAAACTATAGAAAATGATGAAAAAACAAAGAACAATGATGATAAATGAAGAAAAGTCATAGAAGGTGATGAAAAACTATGAAAATGATGCGAAATTATGAAACATGAAGAAAGTGGGAAAAATCATGAGAACTGATGAACAATGATGACAAATGATGAAACATAACCAGCAACAATGAAAATGATAGAAAATGATGAAGAAACGTCATAAAACATTGCGAAAAGTCATGAAAAATTGAAAAACATGAAAATGATGAAAAAGGATGAGGATGAAAATGATGTAAAAAAAAACGATGAACACGATAAAAAAAAAAAAAGTATGAATCCTAAAGTTGAAACATGATGGGAATTATGAAAACCATGAGGACATGAAGGCATTAAAGGCGGCGGGGTTGAGGGGGGCGCCCCCCCCTCGATTTGCAAACAACATGATCCGAATCACTGCAGCAAGCCTGGATGGCCTCACAGAAAAAAGGGGGGGATCATGAAAAGTAGGGAGGTGCTCTAAACGACACTGGTAGGCATGGATGGCCGTAACAGTAACAGGGGGGGGGGGGCGCGCAGCGCCCCCCCATTTGCAAACAAGATGATCTGCATAACCCTCCCTTGCTGATCATCAACTACTACAACTACTACTTCAGGAAGGTGCAGAAAGCGATAAACCACAGAGCTAGAAATCGAATAAGCCACAAAGCCAAAAAGCCAAGAAGCCCAAAACCAAGAAGCCAAAACCCCAAGCAGCCCAAAACCCAAGCAGCCAACAGAAAGAAGGCAGAAGTCAAGTAATTGATGAAAATGATGGAAAATTATGAATAT